TCTTCTTCTTCTGCTCCTCTGTATCGAATTCCTCTTTGCTACTCAAGCACCCAATACTGGACTTAGGCTGGCTAGGATCCCACCACCCGACCTGAACACTGCCTATGCCCTCTTCTTCAAAGAAGTAGAGATTGTCCAGGTCTTCTTCTACTCACGTCAGGTCATTGAGACCTTATTCAGGCCAGTTATTTAGATTTTGCCCTGCCTTATTGTCCCCAACGGCGTTGATGCTGAGGGAGTCTGGTAGTATGATTACAGGCTTTGGCTGGTCAACATGCAAAATGTATCAGCTAAGGTCATACTCTTCTGCGAGTGAGGCCCCCTTTTCCACAACTTGGGTGTCAAACAACCCTTTCTCTGGTGCATTTTTCTTCTTCTCTGTTTCCGCCACCACAGGCCCTGATTGGGTTTTGAGTGTTATATCCATTATGCACATATCCATGCTTTCTGGAATAACCATCTCAAGCTTAGGTAAATGGGATAGGGTGATATATACGCTGGGGTTTAAGGTAGACGGTAGTGTATAGATAAGGTTGATGTTTCTGGGCAGGGGAATTTGGTTATAGGCGGGAAGTGGGTTAGTGGTCACATTTGGTTTAGAAAGTGGGGCTATGATTTTATTGTCGATGAGATCTTGGATCTCATGACGTAGGCGATAACAGCAATCGGTGGGGTGATCGTCCTATTGATGGAAAATGAAATATTGGGTGGGATCGTGTCTAGGTGGGAGTGGGTCAGGGAGAGGTCGAGGGTCGGAGGGCTTAAGGTTTCCTTTTTGCATCAGGAGTTTAAGGGCATGGGCTAGGCTCATGTGGAATGGGGTAAAAGTCCTTTGGTCTCGGTTTGGAACGGTGGGTTATGAGGTTGTAGCGGCGAAGGGATCAGTCATTTTGGCCACTGTGGCGACGGTGCTGATCTCGACAAGCTAAGGAATAGTGCTATTTCTAGCATTGGTATTTCGGATAAACAACCGTTTTGCCGGTTTGTTAGTTCTCTAATGATGCCTTTCTAAAATGCGCTTCCAATTTGGACTCCTAACTCGTGCAAAGAAACAAATGTAGACAGTGGCGCTAATATCATTCTTTGTAACATATCTGACTCAAGATTTTGAACTATGAACCGGACTTGTTCCTTTTCTGAGGGCCTGTTCGTCATTCTGGCTGCCTTTGCCCTCCATCTTGTAACAAAGTCGATGAAGGGTTCCTTGGGATTTTGCGTGGTTACTTCCAGCTCGCTGATTGTTACTTTTATCTGGCTATTGTATGAGTATTGATAAACAAACCCCTTAGACAGTTCCTCCCAATTTCGTTTGGTAGAATCCTCCAATTTGGCGTACCAAATAGCTGCCATGTTCGACAGAGTTTTTCTGAACAATGACAATTTTTGAGTTCGAGTCAAGCCCATTGGTCTCAGAACATCCAAAAGAAGATGAACATGTTCAATAGGATCTCCACTGCCATCAAATCTATCGATGTGAGGCATCTTGAACTTTTCTGGTAATCTAACTAAGGCCTTGGTATAACCATCTTGAATATCTGGGATGGAATTAAAGCCTTGAGATTTCTTGAGCACCTTCTCTAGCCTGGCGATTTTTATCAGAGCTGGATCAATATCATTGATATTGAAGGGAAGGAGTTCCCTGTGGGCTATTCCAGAGGCCTGAAAGCTAGAGCTTGTGCTAATATCTCTTGAGGATCAGCGACCTGAGGGTTTCAACTAGTGGAGGTGGATCAAGATTTGGTTGGACAGCTGGGACTGGAGGTACAGTAGATGCAGATGCCCCAGATAAGCATCGCATTTCAGCAATGGTTTCATCCTGAGTAGCAATTTTGTGATTCAAGGTATTCATGGTTCTTTGAAAAGCTATCATCATAGCAGCAGCCTCTTATGGATTTTGCATCATGACAGGTCTTGGAGAGTTAGTTATTGGTGAGCTGAGTGGGTGAGAACAAACAGGTGATTGTTGAGTGATCTGTGCTAGTGAAGACTGATGAATTCTTCTCTGGCGAACAACTGGTGGGAGAGGGACTAACGATGGCTGACCATCAACAAGATCCTAGATTTTGCAAAGTCTACCAAAGCGAGTCCACAAAACTTGGGGGATATCGGGTATGTCTGAAGCTATGATTGTAAACTACCTAGCAAAAAGAAAGAAAAGGAAAACAATAATAAAAAATAGGCAGCACTTCTCTCTCCACCTCTTCTTACTCCTCCTTGAGTGGCTAGGCTCCTTTTTCTAGGGTTTTGATGAAACCCTAGTCATGTAAATAGGTTTTCTTTTATGTAATCGTTTGAATAATTGTATGTTTCTCAAGAAATTTTCTAATATAATTTTCCATTATTTCTTCGAGCATTCTGCTTTCTGTAATTATTGAATGCTTTCCATATAATGGTTTTCTACTCTTTCATGTTTAAGGTATGAGATGAGTCATACTATGAAGGACGAGTCGTGGTGCTACCATAGTTTAGAGGGAACGACTCATACTACTTAAGATGGTTCGTGCCTATATATTGAACGTGTTGATTTTCTTGATAAATGCTTTAAGCTTGTAGTTGCGAAGTATTATTTAGTTCAAACCGTAACATAACTAGTGTTGAATTTATTATCCTAGGTTTTTCTCAAAATCAGTAAATTCCAATTTTTCTTTTAATTGCTTAGTTTAATCTCTTAATTTATTTCAATTATTACTAGTTTATGAATCATCATCTTTTCAATCAAAATTGAATTAGGAATTTAACAATTAAATTAATTTAATTTCCTGTTTGTCCCTATGGATCGATACCTGAACTTATAGTTATTTTAAGGAATTTGGTATGAGTTTAGTGTTTATTTTTTGTGTGAAATGGCCCATCAAATCTAACAATAAAAAATTGCTTTATAAAATTTGTTAAATACTAAATTGCATAAAAAGTGAAATAAAAGAGTGAAACAAATGCAATTTTCTTTGTTTGATAGAATTTTTAATTTTTTTTTTTGAAAAAATAAATAAATAATTCATTATTTTCATATGATTTTCTATAGTTTTAACAAGAAATAAACTTTTTAAAATTCAAAAATATCTGCTCCTTTTATTATTATTATTATTATTTTATAAGTTCTGAAACCTCAGTTAGACTATAAAATTTGTTGAAGACTAAATTGCACAATTAAATAGTTCGAGAGTATCATGTGACATTTCTTACGTTGTGCTCCTGTTAAATAAAAAATCGCAACCCACACTAAGTTGGTCATTCATTATCTCGTAAATATTTAACAAAGATAAGTCATTATATTCACCAATAAAATTTTCCGCAATGTTATTTGAATCACCATGTAGATCATGCCACATGGCACACCTGAATTACCTAATAATTAACTCCAATATGATGGGTTATGCAAAATACTGCGCTCATTCGAAACGCACAAATTAAAAGGTGGGTGGTGTGAGTTGGGCAGTTTGTTGAAGCGGGTCGGTTGGTAAGCAAAATCAGAAATGTTCAAACGGCACTCTACCCGAACCAACCAGCTGTTATGTATGATTAATTAATTAATTGCACTCTAATGCTTCTTGTGCACCCCACCATACACAACCAATCACTAATACCTTCTTTTTTTTAATCAAATTCACTAATACCTTAAGGCCATGTTTGTTTGGGCGGACTGGATTAGCATTCCCATGACTAATAGTCCTAGGGGTACAAATCCATTGGATTATGTATCCTATCTTAACTAATAGTCAAGTTTAAAATAATTAGTCCGTACTTTAATTGTTTAATCAAACATTGGATTAGTAATTTTATTGGACTATTAGTCCAATCCCAAGCTCATATCCACCCAAACAAACATGACCTAAAGTCACTATATCAATTAGAAGCGATTATATATCAAATTAGGCTCCATTTGATGAGGTTGACAACTCTAATGGAGAATTTTGCTCGTCTGAACGTTACTTCCATAGCAAAAATGCATACTATAAGAACGAGAAAAAAGAAAATAAATTTGTAATTTCTCTCGTGGACATTGGCGAATCCAGGGGTGGCTAGAAGGGGTCATCGCCCCTCCATCCATCTATAAAACCTCAACTACTATATGTGGATTTATTATTAATTTATAAATGATAAAAAGAGTTAATTCCTCCACTCATGTCCTGACTTTGTCAATTTATTTAAAGCTTTGAATTAAAACCATGCTATAATACATGATATATATCATATATAATTTATGATTTAAATTGATGTTACGAATTATTATAGTGTTTGGTTATATAGGCCATTATGGTGATCGAGTTAACAAATTATAAAATTAAAATTAATTACGTCTCATTCTAATATTTGATTATGTTTCAAAATAATATTCGATAGGACTCATTATAGTGATTTTGGTTATGACCAAAATGACACCTTCAATTTTGGCTTTAATTAATGTTAGTTACAACCACAATCAATGTGAAAAGTACTTATCTATTATTAGTTTTTTGATCTTATATTTGGTATAAATTATAACAAAAATTTATAATTTTGTTTTTGTACTTTTTGTTTTGTAAATGCCTATTGACTGAAAATATTATTTGCAAATTTAAAAATGATGTTTAATTTGTATACTTATAAAAATAAATATTTTAGTACAACATATACGTGCAAAACTTTTATAATAATGTGATAAAATAAATTTTGTAGTCAATTTTTGTTGTACATAGTTTGGCCCCCTCTTACCAAAATTTATGCGTCCGCCACTGTTCGTATAGATAGAAAAGAAACAAAATTATTGTGTTTTCTCGCCATTTTGTTTTACAAATATCAATTCATTTCTTATTGATTGTGTTAATCCCCCTCGCCAATATAAATATATAGGAATGTAATATGAGAGTTATATACTTCCATTTTGCATGCAAGGCTGCCCTACCAAACTTTTCTTTTCTGAAAAATGAAAAAAAAGGGGAAAAAATTATGAAGAAATCAAATGCCAGGTAACACCAAACCAAGCAACTATGTGAAAACCAAGCCAAATGAACCAAGCACACCTTACAAACTTAAAATGAGACAAAGGGAGTAGTTTCAAACACCGTATAGACCTGAAGTGGAACCGACTTATCAAGGTTCCAATCTCCATCCATGCTCAGAAAGTGCTTCAATCACCCGGAAAGATGCCTCTGCAGTGTCATTCAGTGGAGGACAGCTCCATCTTTCTGATATCTGCACAATCAAACCACAATATGATATTTTAATGGAGAGATTGGTTTTGTTCAACATCAACCACCGCAGTACTAATGGCATAATTTGATTGTGCAGCAGTTACTATAATTGCATTACAAGATAAATAAAAGACTTTGGACTTTGTATGGAACTCACATCTTCTTTACCCGTGAATGGTCGCACCACTCCTCGTTCCTGCAGAGATTTGTGGAACTCCGCAAACTTCCATGTACATCGCTCTGCTCCAATAACATAAACAGGCTTTCTGCAGCATAAATTATTAACATTTCAATTGGGAGGAAAATCAAATTAAATATGTTGAAGAACACTAGTTCAAGCATACCCAGTACTGCAAGCCTCACTCAACATACTAACTGAATCAGCTGTGATTATGAAAGCATCGGCCCAAGCGAGATGCCCCATGTGAGGATTTGGATCTAACCAGTATAAATTATGCAAACATTGTATGAACTTCGAAATTCAGAAATATGCGCTCCAAAAATCCTTCAGATGATAATAAGAATTGAGCATACCTTTGCCATCCCAAATGTAAACTTTAGGATGATAACTAAATTCCTTCTCTAAGATATCAGATACCTGTTGATCACAGAATGCACAAACAATAGCCCCCCATTTCCATTAAGATAAAAGAAATTACTATAAATATGCACACCTCCTGTGGAGTTCTTCTCGAGAAAGATATTCTGAGGCTTCCAAAACTCCAACGAACATTCTTCAGGGATGCTGTCAACTGTTTTGCAAGGTCTGCACCATATTGACAATGTTCTACAATAACAACATAAATATGACATAAATTATGGGAAGTTGTTATTAACCAATGATACAGCATCAACAGGGAGAAGTGAATAAAAAGAATACTTATGATTTTTCTTCCGATAAAGAATAAACTATTGCAAGTATGAAATCTTATTTGACTTAGAGAATGATAAGCACTAACACAGCAAACCAGTTTTAACTAAAATTGAAGCTTTTTGAGGCAAGCCATGAGTAAAGTCATCATAGAAGCAGATTTGCAATAGCGATGTTACAATATACTTTTTAAACACTAATGTAATTATGTACAAGCTTGAGAGGGGATCCTATATGATAATATAAACAGTTTCAAGTTAAAAGGAACTACGTTAGATTTTCTAGTCATGCACCTTGCAAGATTTAACCTAAATAAATAAATACAGGAGAATGAAAATTTTAGGATCTTTGAACATCAATTACTGCAATTCTATCTTTTTTTTTTTTCTTTTTTCAGGTTGTGCAAAGACCAGAGTAGTAACATACAAAAAAGATTTTGAGTAATTCATAAAGGCACTCATATATGGATATAAATATACTAATAAATTTAAATCATAAACTAATGCATACAATAAAAAAGTGAACAGACCCTAAAGTTTGAACAATGTGATCCCAAAAACAAAACCCTATAGCTTGAACAATCTTACCATCTAAAAAAAGAAAAAGAAAACCTTGAACAATCTTAAATGCCAACTGCATCAGAGAAGTTAGTTCTATGCAACAAAACAGACTTCAGAGTATGAACAACCTCATCCACTCCGAGTTCCTTTTAGACTCTTTTCTGTCGTCAGGACCACAAATTCCCATTAACAGGGCTAACTCAATATCAGAAGCAAACAAAAGTTGTGGAAGGAGGAAAAAGGGACACGGTATCAAAATTGAGAAGCAAAATACACCTTGAATATTGTCTAGCTAAAACAAAGACTAATACCCACATTAGGCCAATTATACCCTATAAAAGGCTAATGTGAGAGGCATCAACTTAAAAAACCCTTACAAAACTGAATACCCAATGTGGGAAAACAATGGTGCTAGCGGGGAAATTTTATATATTATAAGGAAAACTTCACTGTAATCTCCCCCCCAACAAAACAAACTGAAAACCCAATGTGGGAAAACAATGGTGCTAAAGGGCCGTGTGCAGTTTACCCCCCTAACGTTTAAATAAAACAAAGGTGCTAAAGGGTCGTGTGCAGTTTACCCCCCTAACGTTTAAATATGACCACATAACCCCCATATGGTTTGTGGACCAAAGAGCACCCTAACTTCTATTAACTGAACATGTGAATTGACCTTTATGCGCTCGTCTTCTTCCTCTTCTCTCTTTCGAATTAAACCTGCAATACACACACGCCTATTTTCTTTTTTCTTCCTTCTATGCTATCAACTCCAACAAATTTCATTCCAAGTTCTGCAAGAAACCCAAGCGGCACACACATCTCCGCACCAAAAAAATCAGTGACCCATTCTCACCATTCATCAACAGTAAATGCATATATATTATCCACTAGTATATACTTAGAAATTATTATGGGCCGCCAGGGGTGTCGGAGAAAGGGGGGATTTTGACCAAGCTGTTTCCGACGATGTCGGTGGCGCCAACAATCAACCCATGCTGTCATAGCTTCTTGGAGCATCGTAAAACTCCAGCCTCCAAAAGAAAAATATAGCGGATTCAATCTTGATGTATACATATTTCTATGTATCAAGACTTTTTTCCAAAAGTACGAATTTTTTAAACCAAATCAGAGCAAAAAAATTGGTCAACAGAACACCAGAAAAAGGAGAGCCTAAGCTAAGATAATAATTGTTAATGTAAAACCATAATAGAGCATGGTAAACAATTGATAAATACATTATTTGAATTGTATTTCCAGACCATTGTACAGAGGCATCAAGTTGGAGATCTCATGAAAGCTTCGCTGAAGCAAAAATTGAAGGGATTGGAAGAGCACTGTACAGTGATGACAAATGGGGAGAGAGAAGGAGAGGGATGATGAAGATAAGGTGGTACTGATGGTGGGAAAAGTGGTTGACCTGTGAATTGTTGAGTTGGGGGGAAGAAGATGAAATAAAGAGCGAGGCTTTCTTTGGATTTTTTTGTATTTTTCATCTAAAAATGGAGGGCACAAGTGGAAGTGGAAGAAATGATGAGAGGTAGAGGAATGGTAAGTTAGTAATTTTAGAGAGTTAATAGGGAAGAGGAAGTTGGTGTGGTACAATGGGTTGGAGTTAAGCAATAGAAAGAGAAATAGTAGAGAGGCGGAAGAAGAATGGCATGTGTAGACATCCCATTTTGACTGACTCTAAGACTTCGGATGCTTGCAACCCTCCCGATGATGAAATGGTACTTAACTTCATCTTTAGACTGATTAAGGATGTCTAGAATTGCTATATAAACCCGTTTTGGCCAAAAATAGACTTTTTTTACAAAAATGACTATTTTGCCCCTAAACCCATTTTTAGCCAAAAAATTATTTTCTTAACCCCGAGAAAAAGAGGAAAGCCTAGTTTTCCTTTGATCAAACGTATTTTTCAAAATTAGTAACTCATTTTATCAAAAAAACTAATCAGAAGGCACTATGGACTTACTTGGGCCACAAGCAAGCCAAGATCATGGAATGCATACAGGGATGACATGTGTACCATAGCAAAGGGTGTGTGCGCACTTGCCTCGTGCTTGCGCACAAGAATGGTGCATGTGCATATCCAAGCATGACAAAGTTAGTTTTAGAAACTCAATCTTTGTGCATTTTTTAAGGGAGGCGGCAGAGGAAGTGATGGGGGTTGCCCTAGCTTGCTCTCCACTCCCCCTCAAACCTATATAAGGGGCCCCTCCCCTTCCCCTTCAAGGGGGTTAAGAAATTTGAACTTTTGTGAGCTTTTGAGACCAAAACCACCCACTTTCTCGCCCCCTTTTCCTTAGCTCTGAAACACACACCCCTATAGCAACTCTAAACCTCTGAAAAACACCCCCAAGGACAGAAGAACTTGAACCCTAACTCAGAATCCAAGCTTGAGGGAGGCTTGCAAGCAAGGAACTCAGCTTTTCTAGCTACCTTCTTCGTGTTTTCTTCAGTTAAAGGAAACTAGCAAGTAAAAACACTTTTAACTTTTATATTTCAGTATCTGTAGGCTTTACTTTTTAGCATTCCTTCGTGCTAGGGTGTTAGGCCATCATCTCATCATGTAGTCATTTGGTTTATTCACTTTCTTTCTTCTCTCTTGCATGCTTTATTTATCTTGTTAGAACAACATGTTCTTAAATCTATTTTAATCATATAATCAGCATGCATGACCCGGTTTGAATCATTATGTAGTTTAGTTTATATTTTGTTTTCATTTGTTAGTTGCTCCTTTTGTGCATATTCATCATATAGTAACTTCAAACCGGGGCTAGGTTGCATCTTGTATGTGTTAGTTGCATTGCAGATCATATTTACTTTATGTATTGCATGAAAGATGCTAAAAGTAGACAATCGGGTAAGTCATCTCTCCCTCCTTAGCATGTGTTTGCTTCTTGCATCATCTTTTAAATAACCAAACCAAACCAAACCAAGCCTTAAGTCCCATCAAATGGGGTCGGCCACATGAATCCTTCTTCTCCACGCGGCCCTATCAAAGGCCATTTCATTAGTCAAATTAAGTAGATTCATATCTCTATTTAAAACGCTAGTCAACGTTAATCTAGGCCTACCCCATCCCCTAACACTTCCATCTACCGTTACAACATCGCATCTCTTCACCGCTGCCTCTGTTGGTCTCCGTTGAATATGACCAAACCATCTCAAACGATTCTTTCTCCACGCAGCCCTATCAAAGGCCATTTCATTAGTCAAATTAAGTAGATTCATATCTCTATTTAAAACGCTAGTCAACGTTAATCTAGGCCTACCCCTTCCCCTAACACTTCCATCTACCGTTATAGCATCGCATCTCTTCACTACTGCCTCTGTTGGTCTCCGTTGAATATGACCAAACCATCTAAAACGATTCTCTCTCAACTTATCTTCTATCGGTGCTACTCCTACCCATTCCCGAATACACTCATTCCTAATCCTGTCTTGTCTAGTCTTACCACACATCCACCTTAGCATCCTCATCTCAGCCACTCATCTTATCTATATGTTGTTTCTTGGTTGCCCAACACTCCGTCCCATACAACATAGCTGGTCTAATAACCGTTTTATAAAACTTACCTTTTAGTCTAGTGGGAATTCGTTTATCGCACAATACCCCAGACGCACTTCTCCACTTACACCATCCCGCCTTAATCCTATGGGCCACATTTGCATCAATCTCTCCCGCAGTTGTGATAATCGACCCTAAATAACGAAAATGTTCACTCTTAGGCAATTCTTGGTTCTCAATCTTCACTTCTCCTCTGCTTTCATTGTTACTGTTACTAAATTTACACTCCATGTATTCTGTCTTAGTTCTGCTTATCCGGAATCCTTTAGATTCAAGAGTTTTTCTCCAAATCTCTAACTTTGTGTTAACTCCTTCTCTAGTCTCATCCACTAGCACAATATCGTTTGCAAAAAGAATGCACCATGGCACGTCATCCTGAATATTTATCATCAACTTGTCCATAACTAAAGCAAAAAAATAAGGACTTAAGGTAGATCCTTGGTGTAACCCTACAGTGATAGCAAATTCATTTGTTTCTCCAGCTGGCGATCTAATAGTGGTTACCGCCCCTTCATACATGTCCCTAATCACGTCAATGTAACCTTTTGTCACCCCTTTCTTCTCTAACACCCACCATATTATATCCCGGGGCACTCTATCATATGCTTTCTCAAGGTCGATAAACACCATATGAATGTCTCTTTTCTTTTCTTTATACTTTTCTATTACTCTCCTCAAAAGATAGATCGCTTCCATTGTTGACCTACCAGGCATAAACCCAAATTGATTCTCTGACACCTCTGTTATATCTCGCAATCGGCGTTCCATCACCCTCTTCCACACTTTCATTATATGACACATTAGCTTGATTTCTCTATAGTTGTTACAATTCTGGACATCACCTTTATTCTTATAGATTGACACTAAAATACTCTTCCTCGACTCATCTGGCATGTTCCTAGTCAACAAAATTTTGCTAAACAACCTAGTCAACCAACCAACTCCCTTTTCACCCAAACACTTCCAAGCTTCAATAGGGATATCATCGGGTCCTAAAACCTTATTTGATTTCATCTTCTTAAGTGCAATTTCCACTTCAAAGTTCCTAATCCTGCGATAGAACCTATAGTTTTGGTTTATCATATTACTGGCTATTTCTTCCCTTATTGTCGTACCTCGATGTTCCTCATTTAATAGTTTCTCAAAATAATTCTTCCATCTTTCCTTAATCTCATCATCCTTCACCAATACCTTAGAATCCTCACTCTTGATGCACTTTACTTGATTAAAATCTCTTGTTTTCCTCTCTCGTATCTTAGCAAGTTTGTATACCCTCTTCTCTCCCTCCTTACTATCTAGTCTAGTGTATAGGTGATCATATACTTTCAACTTGGTCTCTCTCACTACTTTCTTGACCTCCTTATTAGCCAATCTGTAGCTCTTAAGGTTTTCCTCAGTCCTATCCTTCTGCCACTTTTTAAAGCACTCTTTTTTTGCCTTAACTACCACTTGAACCTCTTCCCTCCACCACTAAGTTTCCCTAGAGCTGGGTCCCATTCCTTTCGACTCTCCAAGCACTTCCCTTGAGATTCTCCTCATACAATTGACCATCGAGTTCCACATAGTGTTAGCATCACCTTCTAAGTCCCAAGTACCTTCCTTATCCATTCGATTCTTAAATATTTTTAGTTTATCCCCTTCTAGGTCCCATCATCTCCTCCTATGACACCCACCATCCTTCTTAGCTTGGTATTGCCCTCTAAAACATAAATCTAGTACCAAAATCCTATGTTGAGAGACCAGACTCTCTCCAGGAATCACCTTACGATCATTGCATTTTAGGCGGTTCACTTTTCTCACTAAGAAGTAATCTATTTGACTCTTAACTAATCTACTCTTAAAGGTTATCAAATGCTCCTCCCTCTTCTTATACATAGTATTGGCCACCACCAGATCAGAAGCCAACGCAAAATCTAAGATACTCTCTCCAGCCTCATTTCTGTCACCAAAACCGTATCCACCATGCACCCTTTCATAACCTAGTTTATCTATGCCCACATGGCCATTAAAATCTCCACCTATAAACAGGTTCTCTCCTATGGGTATCTCTTGTAAGATCTCATCCATTTGCTCCCAAAAATTCCTCTTAGTCTGATCATCTAACCTTACTTGAGGGGCGTATGCGCTAATAATGTTCACTATATTCCCTCCAATAACTAGTTTAATTAGCAAAATCCTATCTCCTTTCCTGGTGACCACCACTACACTTTCCACAAGACCCTTGGCAATTATGATTCCTACCCCATTCCTGCGTCTATCCTTACCACTATAATATAGTTTAAAACTGGTATCCTCAATTTCCCTACCTTTCTCTCCCGTCCACTTAGTTTCTTGTATGCAAGCTACACTAACTCTCCTCCTAATCATAACATCTACCAATTCCATCGTCTTACCAGTTAAGGTTCCTATGTTCCAAGTGGCTACCCTAAACCTATAGTCTTAAACTAACTTCTTTACCCGCGCTCATCCAGAAAAGCGCAGAAACCTTTGCCCATTTTTCACCGCACCCAGGGGTCGATGCGGCGCCCCTTGCTCACTTTTCGAAACACCTGGAGGCAGGCGCAACGCGTCACTTGAGGGGAATGACCTAGCATTTAAACACGTCACTTGTATGTTTTGAATGTTTTTGTGAATATTGCCTATCTTAGTTTGAGTTCATTGCCATAAAATAAATTAAAATATCCTTTTTAATGGAAAATCTTCACTTTTAAGTATGGCATTGTTCTTTCAATCTAAGATGGGTGACATTCACTTTTTATTCAGATCACATAGTTTTAGGATTAGTTAAAGGTTTGTAGGCTTAAAATGAACTCGTGTTAATGGTTTTTAGGCTTAAAATGAACTTGTGTGAATAATTAACTACTAAAATCATAAATTAGAAAGTGAGTAGAGGCCAATCTTCGGATTGGGCAAGAGGGGATGCTATCATTCAATAACCTTCTCCTCTTGTACATAAGCTCCTAAATCCGAATTATTCTTGGCTGTGATGGACTGGTCCTTAACTTAATTTTCATTGTTAAAGGTTTCTTAATTCCCCTTTAAAAATTCAGTGGTGACTCTTTGTTGTCAGTGTGGGATGCATGCCTTAGACTCAAAAAAGGCACGGCACTCACGGCATGCTTTTGAAAATTTAAAGATATGCAAGGGGTATTCTGATCTTAAAATGTAGTTCACTCTCTTCATGAGCATGTGAACCTCACATTCAGTTAACTTAGATGGAAAAGTGGATAGTGCAATTTGGTCCACAAACCACGTGGGGTTTATGTAGTCATTTCCAAACATTAGGGGGGTAAACCACACATAACCCAAACCACAAGAGGTAAAATGAAGTTTGCCCTATATTATAAGCATGTGGCGAATCTCCTTCCACCAGATGTTTCCAGCTTGGATAATTATATATTTTACAATTCGTAATTTATTAAGCGTCAATCATTTAACATCAGGAAGCATAGAGTTCTAACATAATCAGCCTCTTAGATAGAAACATAAATGAGTAGTAACTATTAATGTTTTAATTGCACAAATTACTTGTAGGCCCTCCAATGTTAACCACGAGCAAGGGTTTCAGCAAAGGAGCCAACTCATCATGCCAGGCACAAGCAGCAACCTGTAAAGCGGTAGAGTCAGCCTGATGAAGAGCTCCCACAGTGAGGACCTGAGGTTCAATTTTTAAAAGCAGTAAGCTTCTTATATGTTTGCAGCACTTGCATGTAAATGACAATTAACATCCACCAAGGGTTTTTAAATGAGTGAACTCACTGAGGCAAATGTTTTATAAACATACCACATGTCTGTCAGGAGGTTCACGAGGAGTTATCCACCTCCGAAGAAACCATGGGATCTGTTCCTGTCCTTTAGGAGTTAATGGGTACCATCCACCCAGCCACCCACCCACCACCACCTGCCACCACCAGCTACCCACCGTCATCACTTTCCACCACTGTCTTCCACCGCCACTTGCCACCACTTATCATTTCTCAGTCTTTTTTATATTTTTAAAGTTTTTTAAACATTTTGTCGATTACCAAACGCGTTTGTAGTTTATGTTTTTCTAAAAATAAACAAAAAATAAACAAAAACCAGTTTATAAAATTTTTGTAAATATAAACTGAAAACGTAAACGTTACCAAACACAACCTAATAATTTTTAATGTGTTTAAATTATTAAAAGGGACCATCTAGATAATTATATATATTTATTTTGAATAGGCATCTTTTTCATTTTGGTGTATGCAATAAGATTTCAATTCTTGGTGTTTAGTCTTTTATGACAATAGCCTCTCTATTCTCATTGCAAGGTAGTTATGGACATGCTTATTTTATTTCATGTCTTTATTTGAACTCAATAATTGTAAGAACCCACATTTTTCATCTTAATCATGTTCATGAGCATCTGTATGATTATGGTTTGTTAAGCTTGCGTGTGTATGTTCGTGACTTGTCCCGCTTAAGTGAGTGAGATCCATGTCTTGATTTGATACCTTTGTGATTTGTCTAAGTGTTATGTGCTTGTCTAAGTTATGATTAGCCGATGTTATTCCAAGCCTAGGTTACGTTACGCCTAGATCATTCCAAGCCGAGGTCATCCTCAGTCTAGAAGTGTCTTGGAACCCCTTGTTGACCTCCGTCCTTGCCTTGACACATTAGCCGAGATGTTACCTTGTACCCAAGCGATCTCGTCCTGGAGTGGTACGACCTAGGCCGAGGTGTGGCGCATCTAGGCCAAGATGTGGCACAGCTTAGTCAAGTGTTGTCCTTCCTAGCTGGGGTCATTGTCACCTTAGTGCCGAAGTCCTTTTGTTAGCCGATGTCACCCCTTGCCGGAGTACCATTCCGTGTAGCTTGTTAAGTACGCCTTGTTATTAGCCGATGTCATTGCCTTGTTAGGAAGCCCATACCGTTTTGCTTGTTGAACACCCTTTCACCATGCTTTGTCCAGTCTGTCAGCCACCTTTTTAGGGTGAACCCAACCAGTCGCCGCCACGTGTCCCAACAGAGGGATTAAGCACAGAACCGAGTGAGAGCACTTATCATTTTAGTGTCATAACCTTGCCTTGTAGAGAGAGAGACTCTAGGAGGAAGAAGGAGTTCTAGAGTGAGAAAGTAAGTCTTCAAGCTTGATTCCTTGAGATCGAACCGTTAGATTCGTGTTCTAAGGTTAGATTCTTGATCTGCTCATGATGTTCCTTACGTTCGTGATATCGCATTGCATGATCGAATACGATTTGTAAGCCATGCATCGTCTTGAAATTCGGTTTTTGAAAGAGAAAATGACATTCATGTGTTCTCCAAGAAAAGTCATGTTTTGATCCGGAAGCTTTTGCCTAGACTCATGTTTTGTGTTTGTTCTTGCATGATTTTCAACTATGGGTACCCAGGTCCATGTTTTCAAACTCATAGCACGAAAATCCCAGATTTGGGATAACAGATTGTGAACGAACATTCATATTTTCCATGTTTTCATACTCATGTTCTTCATATTCATCAGCAGAGGGAAACCCAGAGTTTCCCGACCTCTTTTCCTTGCATGTGGCCCTCAGGGACACACCTCGGCAAGGAGGTGTGTAACCTCGGCCTAGACCTGGTTAGTGCCCAGCATGTTTTCCGAAATCATTGGTGCACATATGAAACTTGTTTGGGAGTGTATTCAATAGGCCTTGCCATGTATTTGTAGGACTTGGGCTGTCTCGACCCCGACGTTCGAAGAACTATGTGAGTGGTATTTTTGATAAAGCTATGTTATACTTGTTTTGATAAATCTCGTTTTGCTCGGTTTTGATAAAAAGTATTTGATCTCGGCATGAATGACTATCCCTACTTGTATATTAAACGCTATCTTGTTTTGATGACATTTCTTGAAAGTCCTTAGCTGCAGGGGACTATAATGCAACTGCACTCTTGTCTTGAAAGTCCTTAGCTGCAGGGGACTATAATGCAACTGCACTCTTGTCTTGAAAGTCCTTAGCTGCAGGGGACTATAATGCAACTGCACTCATGTCTTGATATGTCATCGCACTTGTAATATGTAGATGTAATAACATCCAAAGAACTTGAAAGGCCGGCAATGAGCTTGAATTCCCTCTTGATTGTAAAGTATGCTATGTATTGTTTTGAAAGAAATCTTGGATATCAATCATGCAAAACCTTTATTTCTAATATCATTCACTGAGTATCCAAGCTCACCCTCTCTATATATATGTAGGTGATGAGCAAGAAGGCAATGAGGCCTAGACGTGTAGCCGATGTGTTTTTGGGTGCATTGCCGACGTGTTTTGGATTAGCATTTTGTACCATCTTGAAGATTATGCTTCTTAGCTTATATTTCTTGTGCACTTGTATATGTCGGCTTGAGAAGCCTTTTGGTCAAGATGTATTTTGTATCTCATTCCCTTATTGTATCTAAGTTGTAAGACTTTGTAAAAAAATGTATGTCATTTCATTGGACTTAAGCACGGCTCTCATGGACTATTTAGATTCAGTATGTGTATATATGTTACTTCCGCACTTGTAAGCCCCATATTTTATACTCTGATTGTGTGTGATTCTTGTAAGTCGGCCTTCGGTAATCTCGGATTACTGGCCATCACGGCACCAAACTACTAGGGGCGGTTTGGGGGCGTGACAATAATAATAATTGTTAAAAATAAAACTAGATATTTGATTTTGTTCATCAATCTTCTTGTTTTAATGGATATCTTTTTATTTTTAGTAGCCAACAAATTTTTATATTCGGATTTTTTGGCTAAAGATCGTTATGAACTTTTCATGATGACAAGACAATCACTAATCTTTTCCCTCTATTAAGGACACGAGCTCCGATTCGTAGCTCGAATTTGGAGGCTCGAATTTGGCTCGAATTCGGAGTAGAGGAAGAAGAGAAGAAGAAGAAGAAGAAGAAGAAGGAGGAAGGAGGGAGGAGGAGGAGGAGGAGGAGGACTGGAGGGGAGGGGGCCATAAAAATGGGGCTGGAGGAGGAGTCGGGGCCGGAGGCGGGGCTGCGACGAGCTGCGGCCGGGCTGCGACGATCGGCGGCGTGCTGCGACGATCGGCGGCGGCAGGGGCCCTTCTCTCCTCTCCTCTCCTCTCCTCTCCTCTCTCTCTCACCTGTGTTGCCTGGTTCAACGAAGAAGAAGAAGAAAAGAAAGAAAGAAAAGGAAGAGAAAGAAAAAAACTACTAGGGCCACCTGTATACTTTGTTGAGTAATTATTATTATTCTTATTATTTCGCTTTATTTATTTATTTATTTTTTTAAGATTACGTTTTATATTTTGGTAAAACTAATGGCTCTTAATTAGATGACATTTTAACACACGCCATTTAAATATACTCCTAGTATTTTGTTTTATTTATTATTTTTATTATTATTATTTATCTTTATTTTATTTTATTTTGAGTTGATTTTTTCTTTAAAATTATCCTTTTTTCTGAATAAAAATGCCTTTTTAATTTTTCAAATTTTAAAATCTCATAACTTTGGTTGTATATATAATTTTTTTTAATACAATTAATATTTTTAAATTTTTTTTATCGAGATTTATCAAGTAATATTTATATTGATTATGAAATTCTAAAAAAAAACAACCATCGTAAAATTTTATTGTCTAATTTATCGTTTAAATAGTGAAATTACATCATCACCTAAAAACACCACACTCACTAGCAACTTACCATCCACAGTCGAAATATTAAATAATAAATTTATCAAAACTGTGACATGCTAATGTTAAAATAGTAAAATTTTACCATGTCTTGTAGTAAATTTTTAGGTGTACATACAAAATATATTCATTTGTATGCACTGCCTTACCACTGTAGCTTGCTCTGTAGACATTTCTCCCTCACGCTCTCTAATTATTTCTAGGGTAAATTACACTTTGTTCTCTTAAAGTTTTATTCAATTTTCATTTTGGCCCTTTAAATTTAATTTTTCTCACTTTGATCATTCATATTTGTAATCATTCCCACTTTGACCTTTTAAGTTTAATTTTTCCCATTTTGGCCCTTCATGTTTGCAATTCATCCTACTTTGACCCTTCATATTTGTAATCCTTCCCACTTTATTCCTAGACTAACTTTCTTCTAAAAAACTAACATAATCTGTCACATCACTAACATATCAGCTCCATGTGTGATGTAAAAAATTCACTAAAGATGCAAAAAATAAAAAATAGCAAACAAAAAAATTGGTTAGTTTGTATTGAACTTTTCTTTCAAATTTATTCATAAACATAGTTATATCGTAGATGCATCTAGATTAAATGCAGCTAAAAAAATAAGAACAAATTTAACTGAAAAAAGAAAAAAGTTTACTAAAGACAAAAAAAAAAAATATACTGACTCAAACACCTGTATTGTCAATTCTGAAAAGAAAAATTTACTATCATTTTTTTCATCTTTAGTGAACTTTTTTTCTTTTTTTAGTTAAATTTGTTTTTATTTTTTTAGTTGCATATAACCTAGATGCATCTATAATTTAATTATATTTATGAATAAATTTGAGAAAAAAAAGTTCACTACAGACTAAAAAAAAATTCCAATTTTTTGTTTTTTATTTTTTATTTTTTGCATCTTTAGTGAATTTTTTACATTACATATGAAGCTGATGTGCTAGTGATGGGACAAATTATGTTACTTTTTTGAATGGAAATTAGTCTAAGAGTAAAGTGGGAAGGATTGCAAACATGAAGGGCCAAAGTGGGAAAGATTACAAACATGGAGGGCCAAAGTGGGAAAAAATCAAACTTAAAGGGCCAAAGTGGGAAGGATTGCAAACAAGAAGGACCAAAGTGGAAAAATCAAACTTAAAGGGTCAAAGTGAGAAATGGACGAAACTTTAGGAGGGCAAAGTGTAATTTGGCGTTATTTCTAATATGCATACAAAACATTTTTGAAAAAAAGAA